GCGCTTGTTGGTCAAGTATAACAGTGATCAGTCTTCATGGTGAGGTTGAGGTTGAGGTAACACCTCTCCGCTCTTAACAATATTTGATTATAGCGGGAGCGGGAGCGGGAGCGGGAGCGGGAGAGGGAGAGGGAGCGGCTCCTGTTTCAAAAGCGGAAGCGTTGGATCGACGGCTGCCCAAAGCTCCGGAGCTCGGGGAGTAAGCTTTGGTGAGGGTAGAGATTACAGATGGCGATCCCGTTTGAACAGGGACCAAGAGTCCGATACATTGGGATTGAGACGCTATTTAATGGGAACATGTTCCATAGAGTTACGGTCCGAGATCCCATTTTTATTTAACGGAATGTATTCCAGGTAAAATGGGATCGTGCTCCTATGTCTATTAAGATCGCACTCCCATCTACAACAAGAATGAGATTCTATTTAATGTTGAGCCCCATCTAAAAAATACCGCGATCCTATTTGGCTAAGATCGAGCTCCCTTCATTGTAGGATCGTGTTCCGGACAATAGTGATCTGTGCCCCAATCGCAGAACTCCACTTGTATAAGGAACCAAATCCCATTACACATGGATTTGTGCACCCACTAAGCACGGCTGCCTGTTCCCATACAAAATGCGATCTCGGTTAAATTTAGAAACCATTCTTCTATCTAGCAATGGCCCATGCGGCTAGATCCATGCACAACAAATCCTGGATGTCCATAGATTAATTAAATCCCATTAATCTAGTATAAAATAAAATCTTCCATTACTATCAACTATTAATGTTAGTATTGCTCAAAAACTCATACATGATACAAAAATGAACTTTATGTTGGCATTTGTATACATGAAAGTATATTGTTTAGGAATCAAATTAGAGTAGTGATCTAATGCAACGATTGTATTATAGTATAATACAACCACACTTCTAAAAAACCTTGTATGTGGTATTTGTATGACCCAGAATTTTGCACACACACTATCTTCATCTCAATCATCAATCCCAAAAAAATAAACTTTCAATTTGATTCCTAGATATGGTCAAAATGAGCCCCCTCCAACAACGAATTTAGACCATTCATTTGGTGAATTTCAAGATCTTAGCCTTTACAAATTTAAAATCATTTTTTTTTCTCTTTTAACATTGTTCATCTAATGATAATAAAGCCATCTAAAACTAATGGAAAAGAAAAAATCCTTTTAAGGCCTAGATCTAAGCGTCTTATCAAAATGGACGACCTATATTAATTTGGCTAAAAAATACTTTTTAGGTTGTGTTTTCAAAATTTTTTTTTTTGTGATTATTTATTAGGATGAAAAGAGCATAGATTTTAAAATTTGGTTCAAACAATTGGTCCTAACATGGTTTTTACATATTGTTGAATTATATTACTATACAACCGGTGTATGAAATCACTGTCCCTCAAATTATTAGAGTAATACATTAAAATGGAATGTCGTTGTTTGGGTACTATTTGGAGACAACCTAAGCATATATTGTTACTGTTAGGCTTAAATTCAGGAAATGCATCACCATTATTTTTGGGTTGAAATAACTATATGAAAATTTTACTAAAATTATTAATTTTTATATTTAAAAGTTATTTTTATTTAAGAAGTTTCTTTTAGAAAGTTATAAAATGGTAAAATAAATTTATTCAAAATTTCAAAAAAAATTATTGTCATAGAAATAAAGGTAATTCAAAAAAATAAAGTCTTTCCAACGCGTAGTGTTTTCCATATATTATTGTCATATTAATTTGCGTAGTGTTTTCCATAGATATCGGAAAAGTCTTTCCAACGCCTATAGGTGAAAATGAATAGTGATTTTGCCTACCCTCATCACCATCCAAATTTCATCGTGCGGTCACGATTGTTAAGTAGCATTTTATTTTTTATTTTTTTTCTACAAATCAGAATGACCTGAAATTTTGAAGGCATGTACATCTTATTGAGGCACATCAATAAAAATATAAAAAACATTATTCATAGAAAATAAATTGATCAAAATACCCCCAAAACTTTTCGAGGGTATTTTGATCAATTTATTTCATGTAAAATATTTTTATTATAAATTTCGATGATTCTCCTATTTTTGATGAATACACGCTCCCAATCTCAAGTCAATCCGATTTGTAAAAAAAAAAAAAAAAATGAAACACTACCGTATAATCGTGACCTCGCGATGAACTTCGGACAGTGATGGGGGTAGGCAAAATCACTATTTATTTTCGCCTATAGGCATTGCGTAGTATTTTCCATACATATAGGGAAAGTCTTTCCAACACCTATTTCATCGCGTGGTCACGATTGTCTAGTAGTGTTTTATTTTTCATTTTTTTTTCTTGAAATTAGAATGACTTGAAATTTGGAGGGTATGTACATTTTATTGAGGCGCATCCAATAAAAATATAAAAAAAATTATTCGTAAAACTAAATCGACCAAAATACCGCTAAAACTTATTAGGGGTATTTTGGTAAATTTATTTCATATAAAATATTTTTTTTATAATTTGTGAAGATTCCCCTATTTTTTATTAATACAAGTTCTAAATTTTAGGTCATTCCAATTTGTAGAAAAAAAATGAAAAATCAACACTACATGACAATCGTGACCGCACGATGAACTTTGAATAATGATGAGGGTAGGCGAAATCACTATTTATTTTCGCCTATAGGCATTGCGTAGTGTTTTCCATATATATAGGAAAAGTCTTTCCAATTCCTATAGGCGAAAATGAATAGTGATTTCGTCTACCTTCATCACTGTCCAAATTTTATCCCGCAGTCACGATTGTCCGGTAGTGTTTTATTTTTCAGTTTTTTTTTACAAATTAGAATGACATGAAATTAGGAGGGTAAGTACATCTTTCTGAGGCGTATCTAATAAAAATATAAACAAAATTATTCACGAAAACTAAATTGACCAAAATACCCTGAAACATTTCGGGGGTATTTTGATCAATTTATTTCATGTAAAATATTTTTTTATATAATTTTGAAGATTCCCAAATTTTTGATGAATATATGTCCCAAATTTTAGGTCATTCTAATTTGTAAAAAATAAATAAAAAATGAAACACTACCAGACAATCGTGACTGCGCGATGAACTTTGGACAGTGATGGGGGTCGACGAAATCACTGTTCATTTTCGCCTATAGGAGTTTCATAGTGTATTCCATATATATATATAAGAAAATTCTTTGCAACGCCTATAGGTGAAATGGATAGGAATTTTGCTTACCCTCATCACTGTCCAAAA